ATTGAGATGTGATCTAGTGGAGGCCTTTCATTCACCCAGGTATCATTTAAAATCTAATATATTTCTCATACTTAATCAAAATCTTATCTTTAAAACCTGAAGCCTGATGGAAGTATTCTTTCAAGTCAAAGATCATATGAGAATTGGTGGTCTCACAAACATTCTTATCAAGGTAGTATTTAACATTTAAGAGTTCGTGGTGTCATAAGAAATGACTGTTTGAGAGTTCTCATCTTTGAAAGCAAGTCCTCCGAGTTCTTTTAGTTGGCACCCTTTATCTCATTTAATCAAATGAGTTTTACAATTCTTCTACTTGATCCTCATAAAAATTTTCTTTTTAGTTTGAGCAGGCTAGTCAAGGGAAAAATGTAGTCTACTTATGGAATATAAAGTTATGGAGATTATGATTGATTTGATCAGTGTAGTACATCCTTTTATGGGGAGATATGAAAATTTCAAACTTGCAAGCTTTTTTTGGACCCTATCCAAAGTAGCTTGGTACATGGTTTGATTAGTTTGAAAATGGAGCAAAGCAGCCTCAAGGCATCACCTTAGATTATTAGTAGGAGGTATTGTAGTTGATATCACCCAACCTTTCACAACTCTTATCACATTTTAGAGAAAAAAGTAATGATTGACTCGTGCTTATTTTTTTTCCCTAAAACTATAAAAAAAAATATAAACAATTATTCTTTATTGTGTTTCAAACACATTGACGAACAGGAATAGGATGTCAATGAAGAATATATTAGATATATGAAGACCTTACTTGCCCATCTTAAAAGGTTTTCACTCATTATTTGGGACTTATTTTGAATAGAATGTCCTAATCTTTCAATACATAGTAGGGTTAAAGAGGATCTTTCGCGAAAGTAGGTTAGTTTATCCTGTGATCCATAAATTAGTTTAGTTTTCTTAATTACAAATATTTTATGCTAAAAGCATGAAACAACAAATACAAACCTTTATATATTATGTTCAAATTTAATTAAATAAATAAATATGTTTTATGCTTTATATTGGCTACTTTTTTTAAAAAAAAAATAAAGGTTTGTCTTCATCTTTTTAAAAAATTAAGTAAAAAATATGAAAACAATAGATAGTCAAATTCTACAACTTTATTAAATTAGTACTTGCATATATTTTAATGAAATTGTATTTTTGAGTCAATTTATCTGTTTTATTTATATTTTTGTTAGAAATTTATTAATTATGTTGTTTTTTTTACTTGAGGAGTAATTATTTTGTTATTAATATACAAATACTATCTAATTAATTATTGAAATATATATTAAAAAATATAATTTTTACTTTATTATCACCTCACTTCAGAAAAATGGTAATTCCAAGTACTCTTTTTCACAGAAGATCTTATTGGGTTATTGAGGGATAGTAATTAACAAGTACGTAAGAGTAAAAAGAGCAGAGCCTGGAGAAAGAAAAGTTCTAATCATCTCTCACAAAAGTTGAATTTTTTTAACAGTCACGGACTAGTGATTCCCGAGAGAGAGAGAAGAAGACAAGAATGGCGACAAAACTGGCACATGAGTTTCATAATAATTACCAAAACCAACACTACGTGACCGCTGGCTCCCTCGCTGTGTCTCTCTCTGCAACATGTTTCTGCCCAATAACACTTCTCACTCCAGACCCAGTAACATCAAATATTTGCATCTATATGCACGGATATATATATATATGTATGTATATTATTCTAATTCATGTATATGTAAATATAAAATGCCTTGAATATATATACACACACACAAATACACTGTGGATGTTGTGGCCCCAAGCACCGTTCAACATTGATAATATATATATATATATATATACACCAATAATTTTTATGTCTAAATTATTGCACTATATATTATTTAGAAGTTAAAGTTCAAATTAACTATCATTATTACAACTTTTTATATTTAGATCTTATGGTAGGTGATATATATATATTTATATTAGGGCCTAAAATCATATTTAACCCTTATAATATAATTTTTTAAAAAATATCTTTAACATATTCCAATATTTATTCTCGTTGATAAACTTCAATTATAACTAGATTGAGAATTTCAAAGTAAACTTATAAATATGCATATTCTTTATCAAAAGTAAAATAACTTTATCAAATGTCTTAAATTTTTGCATTCATTAAAAGATAAGTTTGATCCAAGTTTATAATCAAAACAATAATTTATAAAATAATATAATATATACTTTTGGATAACTTATATAATTAATAAATAGCTACAAAACTAGTAAGTAATTAAATAATTTAATAAAGTTATAATAATTTTTAAATATTATAAAGCATCAAAATAGATCAAAAGACTATTCACTTGTAATACTAAATCCAAAATTTTCAATAAAATGTCAAAATTTATTTGAAATTCTATTAATTTCAAAATATTGAATAAATATACATAAATTCCAATAATGTACATGCATGTTGATGAGAAATCTAACATATAATCTTCGCAGCATCTAGGGAGCCTGATTATTAAACTCTAATTTAAAATTCATTACATTTCTAAAATTCATTCATAAATCTTTTTATAAGACTTAATAACCTCCAATATGTAATATATGATACGATCTACATCTCTACAATTTTTCAATCATAATATAAAATTTTAGCCCCCTAAAATCACCAATTGAAAATTAAGATTTAGATATTTATTTTTGCATAAGATGCAATCAATTGTAAAAATTTAATTCTCTTAGTATAGGTCAAATAGACAATAGTTATTACATACCTATAATTTAGAGACGTAGGACTATAATTTAGAAGAAAAAATCAATCAAAAAGGTTGCCAAAAAATGGAAATTAGAATTCTAAAATTGTTGTTGTGATTTGGGTTTTTTTCTCACAGCATGTAAAAATTCATAATTCTCTCAATTCCAATTATGTAATCTTTAGTATTTATGAGAAGTTTATGATGTCTAAATTATACTTATATGAGTTTGTAGCTAAATGTTTGCGGAAAAAGCTGAAAATGTTGCCGAAAGACCATAACTGCAGAGTTTGTATTTTTCTAAGATCATAAATATTCAAAAATTTATAACTCATCGAATTTTCATATAAGTCATGCGATTTTAATATTTATAAAAATTTAGAATGTGTAAATTATATAAGAATCATATGGTAGGCAAAAAAGCATAAAGAAAAGTAAAAAATGTAGCTAAAAGATTATTATGCACTTGTCGTGTTCTATAACAGTACTTGGTTTTTAAAATTTCATATCTTCTTCAATTCTACTCTAAATTATATAATCTTAGAGTTATAATCTTAGTAGCCAAAATTTAACTAGAAGAATCATACAAATTTTTTTGCAACATCAAATTTTCATAATTTTGTAATTTCTTCAATTCTAATTTAAATAATAAAATTTTGGTGTCTATAAAATGATTAGAATGTGTGAAGTTATAAATAAAATAGATTGATATTAGATACTTGACAAATAAAATAAAAAAATGTAGCCAACATACTACTACCACACATATTCCTTTTTTAATTTGCATAAACATAATTTTCTTTTTAATTTTTAATTTCTATGTTTGAATGTCACATAATATAATTCTAATTTTAGAGTTTAAGATATTTATAGAATCCTCTTATTCTTTTCTTATCTTTTTTTTCTTCTTCTCTCTTTTTATGGTTTTAGAGATTGTTTAAGTAAACTCTAACAATTAACTTATATATATATATATAATTTTTTTCTATAATTTACAAAAAGTGTAATTCATACTAAATTATAAAATAAAATAAATTTTCTTAAACCTATAACTAAATAGTAATTTTTTGGGCCGGAGTGATAGTCAAAATGTATAAAGAAAATCAATGTGTGTGTGCGTGTATGTATATATAATTATATACGAGAAATGTGAAGAGATTAGCCAATTTGTCGTGAAAATCAAAAGTTTGACAAATTCGTCGTGAAATAATTATTTAAGAAAATAATATTCAATTATGGTAAACCCCTTAAATTAAGCAAATTATATTATATTGATTTTTAAAGTTGGTATTAATTATAAATAAATAAATAAATTTAAAAAAATGTTTGGATTAGGTATTAGGTAGCCGAACAAATTCTTCTCCAAATTAATAAACAAATCTGATATCCTTCCTTCTCTAATCTTGATTAAAATATTATTATGATTAATTAACTAAAAAGGAATATTTAAGCAACTTGGCCTGAAGAACATAATTTAGAAAAATAATTAAAATTAAAAGAACTTCACTTATCGACTTTGTGTTGGAATGTAGTCAGCAGGCGGAAGATTCTTACAGAGCCACTGGGTTTTCCTGCTTTTGACATTCTACTCCACTCGCTTACCTCATTTTCTTATTATATATATATATTTATATTCTCATAACAGCCCTAAAAGTACCGCGAGACTTCAACCAAACTTATTTTAAAATAATTAGTCCACATGCTTCTATTTTTTTAAAAGGCAAAAAAAATTCAACAATAACATGGATTTATGGACGTTTTGTCGTTCTCCTTATCCTACTATCTGCCATAAATTATTGAATATAATATATATTGTGTAAAATATTATTTTATATATGCATGCAACTGACCAGTACGTGTTAGTAACATAGAATTCTATCTTGAAATATTTTTGTACACGTGCGAATCACACTCTATATATTGTTTTTGTCGTCGTCTTTTTTCAATACGTACAGATATTATATGGGAAAATAACCACATATATATACACTTACAAAGATGTCTATTTACTACAAGCATGTAGACAAATTACGACAACAAGCAGCTGAGATGTATCCAAAAATTAATCCAGCCTTAAATGTGGTGATATAATAATCCAAACTAAAGTAATTATCAATCACTATTTAACTGAATGGCCAGTGTATATGCTTCTCTAAGAAGGGATTACGAGTTTAAATCAAGTTATATTGTTCAAAAATATTTTGTATTTTGTTATGTTTGATACCTATATATTATAATAAATATATGCATTAAACTCAGAAAAAAAAAAAAAAACTGAAATTAGAAGTGGACTGAAAAATTCATCAACTTACAATATAATCCATGTTCCATATCTAAAAACTACTATGCCAACTTCTGTTTCACTCATGTCAACACGTTTCTCTTCGTCACTAGTGCAGTTTTGTTCTCCCAAAAGCTTGAGTTGGTTGCTGTGAATTAGACTTGGCAGCTTCTTGTTCCAACGAGCTCATGTTCATCCCCAGTTGTTGTTGGTGCTGCTGCTGATCTCTATGCGAGAACCCACCACTAATATTTCTTACAACTCCTCCGACGCCAAGAAAATCCAACGTCAACTTATCAGAACCGGCAAGATTTTGGTGAAGCTTTGCCTCGTCCACGCCGCCAAAGTTTGACATCCCACCGCCGGCGGAGAAGCTGACAAAGCTATGATCCTGTCCCTGTCTTCCTCCTCCTCCTCCTCCGCTGCCGCTGCCGAAGATGGTCGACCCTCCATTTACGAGAGAATTCATAAGTCCTTGGAGATTGGTGTCATTGTCGATTTGTGATCTCAGGCTTTGATCTGTATTGCTCCCAAAATTTCCGCCAAAGTTGGTGGGCATGATTGATCGGTCTGGTTTACCAGCAGTTGAGGAAGAGCCGCCGCCGCTCAAGCCTCGTAGCAGGGTTGATGTACTGTTGCTACTCGTAGTTGAACCCATTTGCGCGGCTTTCTGAAGCAATGCCGTGGCTGACATATGTGGGGAAATGGCTTCATGTTGCACTGAACTTGTATAGAGGGAGGAGAGACCGGAACCGGAGTGATCACCAAGGTTATTAGAGAAGATGGAGGTAGTCCCTTGGCTGCCATTGTTGCCATTGTTAAACTGGTTAGCTCCAAGGAAGCCAGAATTCTGGAGGTTGGTGGTGTTGGTGTTTTCACTGTTGGTTATGCTGCTAGTTGAGCTATTGTTGGAAAAGAAGCCAAGGTTAAAGAGATTAGCAGATGAAGGAGAGTTCGTTGTGTTGCTTTGAAGATCAGGAAGTTGCATCAGACCATGAATTGGCTTGTTTTGAAAAGATACCACGCCATGCTGATCTTGAATCAAGCCTTGGTTTGCATCTTGCAAGAAGAATGCGGCCGCAGAAGGTGGCAGATTTGGCTGTAAAGAAGAAGGGTTTGTAGACGTTGGATTAATGAGGTGCTCAAATTTTGGTCCACCACCAGTAGTAGTACTTCCCAGCCTTAAAATGTTAGCCGCTGAAGGGACGCTGTTTGGGTCTTGCAAGGAGGAAATCTGAGAATTATTACTAACTTGAGTTAAGCCTAAGCTCATGTGATTGTTTCCGTACAAATGGTGAGTGGCCAGTGTGTTTAAGCTGGTTGGGTGTCTTGCACTCTCCTGAGCCAGAGCGTCGCAAAAAGCTCGATGGGTGATGAAGCTATCCCGTCTGCGACAAATATATACATGTATACACCAAACCAAACTGTTAGATCACACAAACTTTCTCTCCTACAAATTAAATGCCAAAATGATATTTCAAGAAATAAAGTTGACGAGACATAGATGATGTTTACTCAGCCAGTGTCAAAAAAGGAGAACTAAGGAGTGTTTGTAAAGATAAATATTAACTTAAACCAGACTGAAGTACTACATTATGTCAACATTTTAAATTATGTCATGTCTTGTTTGCAGCGCCTGGCTAGAATAGTATAAACATATGCCATCTATATATATATAGTTTTTGTAGTTAATTTGGTGGATAAAGTCATGTGATCATATACATGTGTGCGTGAGAGAGTTTGAGCAATCCACTTCTTTTAATTATTTAGGAAACAAGAATAGTATAAAATATGCAAATTAATCTGTGAAGTTGCAGAGAATCATCCTAAAGAGAAAGACGTTACACTATTTTAATCATGGGTTACAATCCCAGGAAATTGAAAAGGGAAACGAGGAAAGGGGAAAATCAACTTTATTTACTGTCACAACGTAAATATCAATCAATGGAATTTAAAATTAAAAAGACCAGGTCAGTAAATAGGAAAGAAGTAATAAAATTTAATTTCCAAAAGAATGTATGTAGAAGCAGCTGGTCAATAATTTATAGCAGGTGAAGCAGAAAATGGAGAAAAATTAACACAAAAAGTGACATTTTGAGGAGAATCCATTGGATTAATAAATGAAGTAGTGCTTGCTAGTTTTATGAAAAACCAGAATCCCCATCGTACATTAATGCAAAACCCATGAATGGTTGTGTCATTCTTTGAGAGAATTATTTCCATAACCATGAAAGTCACCAATTAATCACCAAGTTTTTAGATAAAAAAAGAACACCAGCTATCTCATCAATCAATGCTGTGAAAACCCATGAGAGACTCCTGCCTTACTTTCAGAAATCATCAGAAAGGACTGTAAAACACTTTTTCCAAGATGAAAAAAAAAAGTTTTATGCTGCAACAAGGAGAATTACCCAGTTACTGTTGTTGAGAGTGAGAGAGAGAGAGAGAGAGAAAGAGAAACAGAGAAAGCATCTTAGCCCCACAAACCCTAACGTTTCATGGGAAGGAGCACCTGCAAGCAGCTAAGCCAACCCAGAAGAAAACAAACGCAGTAAAGATATACAACTCACATGCGAACAAATTCAGTAACAATATCATTCTTGGCACTGTGTCTCTACTAACACGTGAATAGGAAAGTTATAAAGGGCGATGTTACCGAGGTAAAAGAACCAAACCTGAACCTGTATTTTTTTTAAAAAAAAAAAAAGAAAATCTCCTTCCTTTTGCTTTCCGTTTGAGGACTCATGAAACTCCAATGGCAGATTCACAGATCATTCACGTGCAAGCAGTAGGAAAATTTGAAAGACGTCTCAGAAATTGAGTTTAAAAGATCTAATCTATAAGTTATTATCTGAAAAAGGAGAAAGAAATGAAAAAAGACCCTTAGAACCCTTCTCTTTTTCTCTCAAACTATCAGTTCTTACAATCTTTTATCTCTGTCAACTTTCCATGGATAACGGACCAATAATTATGCCAATCATAATGCAGGTAGTTAATTGGTTTTTTCTCCTTTTCTCATTGGATTAAAGTAATTAATTACCTTGAGAAGAGAGTGCCACAATCGCATCTGTACTCTCTGGTGCCGCAAGTTTTAGAATGAGCCTTCCAGTCGGATTGAACAGCATAGCGCTTAGAGCACTTTTCGCACTTCCATTTCTTCTCGCCATGTTTTCTAGAGTAGTGCTTTTTGATGCCAGTAAGGTCGCCAAGAGCACGAGAAGGGTCATGGTGGACGCATGTGGGTTCAGGGCATAAATAAACCTTTCTCTTCACCTCTTTTGTAGTCTTCTGCTTTAGCTTCCAGGGCAGGTTGTGTCCTCTTCTGTGGAGCTGTAAGTTTTGTTCCCTTTGAAACCCTTTGTTGCACACCTCACATATGAACCTGTTTGTTGCCATTAGCGTCTTGGGAGATAGTGCTATCACTTCTGCATCTGGATCTGTTACATAAACGCCAAAAAGAAACCCACATAACAAAACAGGAATCTTTATTTTAATAAAAGAAAAGAAAGAAGAAGAAGAAGGTGGTTGTTAAAGCTTTGAAGATGACAATTAGGTGAAGAGAAAATGGACAAGAAAAGAAAAAGATCCTCTAGACCAAAAGAAAAACAAAAACAAAAAGATGAAAACCCTATTGAAATTTGAAATTAGGGTTTCATTTGAGGAAATCTGTTGAGGGATTGAAGCAAAAGCAAGGAATAAAAGAAGGGAAAGTTTTATGAAATTTACTCATAAAATTAATACAAGATATATGTATATGATATGTATACATAAGTAAGAGGTACTTGCTTGGATTTCCAGGTTGATTTCTCTTCTTCTTTGGAGGTGCTGTGTTTGGAACAGTGGAGGAAACAGTTGTAGATGAATGTTGTTGAACTTGTATCATCTGGTTTTGGTTGTCTTCTCCGGCTACGAAAAACGGTGCGGATGATGAGGCGGCAGCCATCTTACTTTTTACTCTCTTTCTTCCTTAGCTTTTATTGCTCTTGTTTTCTTCTTTGCCTCTTGAGCAAACAACCAAATCAACTTCTCAAAAATCAGCCAAAATTACACAACTTACAAATCAAACTTTAAGCTTTTCTAGGGTATTTTATCGTATCCGAGTAGCTGAAAATCAGCTAAAAGAAAAAACAAGAGAAAAAATAAAAGACCCATATGTTACAAGGCAAAGAGAGATAGACAAACAGATAGATATATGTATATATAGATTTATATATGTTACCTTGAAAAATCTGGAGATGCAAACCCAGAAAGAACCAAGAAGAAGCACTTAACACAAAACCCAGAAAGAACCAAGCGGAAAGTATATAAGGGGACAGCAACAATCCGGAGTAAAAGAGAAGGAAACAATCAACCCTATAAGACCTATCTTGCTCTCTCTCCTCTCTTTCTCAGTAGTACTTCTCTTGTTGTTTCTTTTTTTTTTTAAAAAAAAAAGTTTTAAAAAATTAAACTTCTCAGTCCTCTCTGTTCCTCAATCATTAAATGTCATCATATGCATACACAGCACACACATACATGTCCATCCACACCCATATGCTCATCTCTCTTTCTCTCTCTCTCTCTCTCTCTCTCTCTCTCTCTCTGTGTGTTTGGTTATATTTGTGTATATAAATATTTTCCTATATACATACATATATCCTTTATAATTAGCAATTTGTAGTGTAGTGTAGTGTAGTGTATAAATGAAATTTACAAGAGAAGAGAAAGATATGGAAAAGTAATTGACGGGAAAATTGTGTCACTATTGATGCAGTGAAAAGTGTCCTTGTGCGGCGAGGGAAGAATGGGGTGGTGGGGGGGGAGGGGCCACCGACCTGTGACCTGTAGGGGATACCCTCTCCCCATCTCTCCTTCTCTTATTTCGTATCTTGTTACCAGCGTCAAGACAAGTCTCATTTTCGTCATCCATACTTTCACTTTCTTCATATTGCTTTTACTCTCACTTATTAATCTCTATTTCTTTAACAACTACTTATTCTTTTTATCAATAAATTTTATCTCACTAATCACTTATTCTCTATTTAATTCAACCCCAGTATATGGAAATATGATCTAACTGTTTAATTTAAATATGCTTCTTAGTTTATTCGGAGGTAAGAGAAGATTAAAAAAACTCAATAGTTATTAACTTAAGGTGAATTCGAGATTCAATGATTTTTTAATTTTTTTCACTTTTAGGACATTGAAGGCATAATATTTTTTAGTATAAATTTATATATTTAATTGTCACACATATATATATATATATATATATAAATGATAATTACAACTTTTGACAAGAACAAACTAGATAGAAGTATGTCAACGAAAGGATTGGTGATGTCGTAACTTATTACGAGATAAATGTGGTAAAACTCCACTCAGGTTTTATTTGGTAATTTATGAAGCTCTAGCTGGCTAGTTCATTCAAATATTATGGATTATTTTTTTTTAATGTACTATAAGAAAATGTGTCAGTGTATGTAATATATATATATATATCTAGATATAACTTTTATTGCTCTCCATTGATTAATTCATCGATAAATTACTAGATCAGTTTGTTTGTTTTACACAAAAGTAACAGAAATAGTACTGCATGTAGAAATTTATATCCCGCAAAGGTAGAGGAATTAAGAAAGAGTGCAGCTCCCGAACAACATAATGAAAATTTAGCTTACCAAGAGCTCCATTTGTAAGAGAATGTGCTCCTAAATTGCAAGATCCAGGAATCCAAGATATAAAGCATACATTGAATGCATTAGCAAAAGAAATAAAGTCATCAATACTTAGACAAAGTTTAGTAACAATCCTGCAAATTACTTGTGAATAAATTCCAAAAAGACATATTTAAGAACCATAAAATTTTTTGATTCATTGGTAAATCTATTTTAATTTTCTATCAACCGCTAATTAAAGATCTGGGATCATAGACATGATTAAAGTTAAATTGTTTGATGTTCAATTGCATCATGATACTCTTTCTATCATTGTAGTTAATACAAAAGAAATTTCAAGACGGATAGCTAGAATTTTTTTTTTTTAATATAAAACATTCATGTTGATAAAAAAAATTGGAGCCTCCTTTTTATTGGAAACCGAAAAATGGTTATTTCAAATAACATTTTTTTCGAATGTTGAACTGATGATCTAAGTATAAAGTATGAAGAATTCTTTGGATTGAAGAAAAAGACTTTGCTCGCAATTATCTATTCTGAAATATTCAAACATTAGATAGATAGATAAAGACGTAGGCGTTTATGAAATATGTCAAGAGCCCATTAATAAGAAGGGTGAGATAAAGCTTGAACCCAATTCCTACAGTAATGATTATAAACGTAATTGAAATTTCAGAGGAATTGTGCATTTGTGTATTGATAAAACTATTAACTATTTTTTAAAACTCAATATTTACTGGTTGAATCATATAGGTAAAAGAAACTATGAACTGAAAAAGAAGAACTTAACCAATCCATGAGTAAATATTTCTTAGTAGTATCATTAGATTGTGTAACTTTCTTAGTATATCCAGATACGAGATTTGAGCATAAAATGAAAAGTTTTGAAGTTACAAACATAATTATTAAATCTTTAGTACCACATAGAAACATTCCTTTTATAATATGAATAATAAAAACTCTATTACAATAATTTCTATACTCAATGTACTCTAATGATAAAAGAATACAAAGAGTTAGAAACATAGTAAAAATGAGAAATAAAAAAATTTTGTTTAAATTTTTTTTTTAAAAGTTAATCTTAAGTTCTTTTCTTTATCAGAACAGTAGGACTGTTATGTTCATTGTTAAACTTGTTGAAGATATGAAATACAACCAAGGGATATCTTTTTTACAAGAGGTTAAATCGATCATCAAAAAAAGCATTAGGGGAATAATTATGATACATTTGAGAAAAATAAAATTTCCATAAAAGAGAAACAAATGAAAGGCTTTCATAAAAATTCTTGTAGAATTGAGAATGAAGTCTTCATTCTAACCATATCAAATCATGAATTAGTAACTATATATAATAAATAGATTTATTAATGAATCATAAAATACTATGATTCTTAAATATGATTTTTTTTTAATTTATTCAAAAGTAATTTACTGGATTGTGCATCATTTCTTTTCTTAGTGCTAGCGAATGCAACTGTTATATACAACTTATTCTTGAAATAAACAATTCATACACACTCCCTTTCCAAAAAAGATCAATACACCAAGGGCTATACTTAAATTTATTGGATTTCTTGGTAATATACTGGTATTAAACTCAAAACTCTTGTTATATGGCTAGTGACCCAAGAAAATGAAAGAATTGGTAAAATATTTCATAGAATCTCTTATTACAGATAGACTAAAAAAATAATGGAATTTTTTTTATTGTATCATTTATTTATTCTATTGCAATTTCAACTATTTATGTGAGTCAATTCTTTCTCTTGTACTTGGAAAAAATATTCTAAATGCTCTAAAATCCACATTGAATATTGATTGAATTGTCTCACGATGTTTTAAACCTAATTCATGCACCGCTTTAATGGGTGAACAACCCAACCTTGAAATATACTACAATCCTAGGTGATGAAAATTTGATATCAAGATGTTAAACATTCTTATCGATTTGAGCTCTTGAGGAAGATCAGCTATCCCTATATTAACTTTTATCCGTTGAGCAACAATCATTCCACCCTTATTGTCAGTTCACTGAGATCGATCTTTATCCTTGTTCGACAAGTGGATCTTGTAGTTAAACATTCTAACCTTTGCACTCGAGTGCAAATCTCCGTCCAGCCCAAGGATACATTTCTATCAATCTATTATTATAATTGTTATGCTTTATATAAAAAATAATAATGACGATCAAATGAAAAAACACAAACTTTGTAATAAGAAAATGTCTATTTTTCTCTTAAAGTACCAAGCTAGAGTACACTTAGGGTAGGGGAATTTTCAGTAGACCATTGAATGATAAAATAACCTTACTAGCTTGATACTGACACTGAGAGACAAAAGTTATAAGAATGAATGAGGATTTCATACCACAATAGTCCTAGCCATAAACGATAAATGGTAGAAACTGTGCATATCAGCTCGTTCCATGTTATAGTTAATGAGATATATATCCTGTTTAGGGAGTGCATTCCCAAGAATGAAACTCAAAAGAGTTTACAAGGGTCCATGTAAGCAGTGTAACATTTGATTTAATTAAATGCAAAATGAAGAATTTATAGGCTTAACATTCTGTGAATCCTCTTGAAAGAGAGGGGTGCCTTTGGGAATGTGAACATAGGCGGTGCATGGTTGTCATCAACTCATGCTATAAAGTCTTGAGTTAAGTCCTGCAATGATCACAACTTTTGTATTTAGTTGCCACCATTGAGTTTGGAACCCTAATTATGCTACCGATGATAAGTCGAAGGAAAGTGAGGATGATGTCAAGTCATCATGCCCCTTATAGCTTAGGCGACACATACACTACAATGGTCAGGACAAATGGTTGTAATCCCATAAGGGTGAGCTAACTTAAACATTCTATCCTCAATTTGGATTGTTGGTTGCAACTCCTTTGCATGAAGCTAGAATATTTAGTAATCACTGATAAACCATATGGTGGTGAATTCGTTCCTAGACTTTGTGCACACCATCTGTCACTACCTATGGAAGATGCTTATGCCTAAAGTCATTACCTTAACCACAATGAAGGAGATGTTGAAGATAGGGCTAGCATTTGGATTGGAGTCTTAACAAGGTATCCATATTTGAAGATGCAACTAGATCACCTCTTTTTAAGGGATAGCTAATGTTTATTCGGTATTTTAGTTTGACATTATGCCATGATCTTATTATCTTAAGTCAAAACAAGTTGATAAAATTTCTTTTCAAAATATGTATATTTTATGGTAACTGTGTTGAATATTATCCAAAAAATTATTTATCAATAACAAAAGGATATGAACTTTCCATTTATAATTTTTGCAAATTGAATTATGATTAAATTGATTTAGTCGTCAATCCCTAAAATGGACTATGTAATGTACTTTATCTGTTGGGAGACATTTTACCATAGATTTATATTATATCAATCTACCCTTGCGTGATTCTTGTTTGTGATTTTATTTGAAAAATATTTTAAAAGGACTTCACATTCTTTAGAAAGCACATCTACAAAGCTATGCATCAGTCTAGGGTAGGTGATGAGATGTAGGTTTGCAAGTAACTTAGCTCCAACTCCTTTGAGAGCCCTAACCTAGATTGACCTTTCTTTTGTTCAAAGCACAAGCTCTCATCATTTTCTATGTCAATATTAGAGACAGACACAAGCTGTAATATCCGAAAATTTCTCAATTGTTCTATTTTATATATGATATGAAGATTGTGTATGCACATATGTATAAGAAAATATTGTAAAGATATAAAAAGGAAGATTAAGGTAAGAAAAAACCTTGATTCATATCAATGATGGAAAATCAACCTTAAGGGAGAAAATGTTTCTCAATACGAAAATACTTGGAATTTACAGGTGAAATTTAAGGATTTACAAATAAACATAAAAAAGAAAATGGCATGGAGAGAAAAAATTTTGTAGAAGA